ATTTTCCCAGATTCCCATGGTTAAGAGGGAGACATAGCATCTAGTTTTATTGATTCGCTCTTCCCAACAATACTTTTCCACATAGGACACTACCCGCTTATCCTGCCCCTGGCCTGGTTGCTACAGCAGAGCTTCTCTAGCAGTCATAGGATGTTGTTATCCTAGTGGCTAAGTGTGTCCTTGCTGGTGTCCATTGGCTATGTTGTGACTCCTTTGTGCCTGGGACTACAATGGGTTTTCCTCCCATTGGATAATTCTGGCTCCACCAGGGATGGCTTTGGTCTCTATCTGCGCCTGGTAATAGTGAAGGCCGATATGAATAACCAGTTCCTATTGAAACCATTGGCAGAGTAGTGGGTATGTGGCAGTGGCTTGGATGAGGATCCAGCATGTGTCTGGAACCTTGCTGGATGAGCCTAAAGAAACCCTGGAACTCCATAACCACACCTGGGAAACATAACCTCACTGACTCTGCCAGGTGATTTAGGCTGGTGGTTAAGAGCCAGACTCTAGAAGCAGAATCTTTGCAGTCATTTTCAGGTCATGTGACCTTGGGCAAAAGTATTAGTCAATGTTCCTCTGACTGGGTTTAGAATAACCTAGAAACACGCCTCTAGGAGGTTGCCTCAACAGGGCTGGATGGTTTAGGAGTTTAGGTAAGGAATAAAGACCTACCTTGAATGTGGGCCGGGGTCCCAGAATGAATTAAAAATTGCATATGAGAAACTGAGCTGAGCACGAGCATTGATCTCTCTGTATCTTCCTGACTGTGGAGACGCCGTGACCCAGCTTCCTCACATCCCCGACTGCATGCCTGCCCACCGGGATGGAGTGTGTCCTCAAACCACGAACTAAGATGTAGGAGCCAGCTCCTACAAGATCAGTTAGGGTTCCTGGACAGGGGACCCTCGAGGCCAAAGAAAAGTCAGATGAAACAGAAGATAGGATAGAATTGGGAGGTCTGTCTGGTCATGCCGAAGCAGTTAAACAGCCCAGAGTTTATTTCAGAACTTGCTTATATACAAAAGCAGAACAAAGCACAGCATAGACGGTCAGTCAGTATCCAACCACAAGGTCATTCATGTCCTTGGGTAAGCAGCCTCCTCTTCAGCACGTGCTTACTGCTCAGAAGCAGCCTTACTTTCTGTCCTGATGTTCTTGGGGTTTGTCGGCAGCAGAATACTGTCTACTAGATGGAGTGTTCTTTTCTCACGGGCTAAATCAGAAGTCTCTCATAGCCCCTGATGGTTATAAGAAAAAGTAGAGCAGGCAAGCTTGAACTCAAATGACTTTAAGTCAGAAATGACTCCATGAAAAGAAATGAAACTGAGTCACACATGGGCTCTCACACTAAAAGAAGCCTTGCCTTCCCTAGTTCCTTTGGCCAGGCATCTTGTCATAGCAATGAAAACAGTCATTGTCACGAGCCTCACCTCTCACCTCTGAAAGGCTTGGGGAATACTAATCGAGACAGGGCCTGCACAGAACAACTGGTGTATGGGACTTGGTATCCACCCTGCACTTTCTGGAGAGGCACAGGCTCCTGGATTTACCAAGAGCTTTAACTGAGAGGTCATTCTGCAAAGAACACCAAGAGCTCTTATGAGGGGACGCTAAGCCGCCAGGGCGCAAATGTGCGCTGCCATACTTCGGCCCTGCTCTGCTGCAGACACCAGAGGACAACAGGCTTATCATATGTGGTGCTGTGACCATGTGTACCTGTGGTGTCCACATCCTGTCCTGGTTCAGAGAATCACAACTGAGTTTTTTTTTTTTTTTTTTTTTTAATTAACAGTTTCTCTTTGCATCCCAATTAGCAACTCCAGTGCTTTGCATAGAGCACCATAAAAACCAACCAACGAAACAAAACACCCCACAGGTTGAATGGATGGGACAGTAGGAAGTAGGATCTTCTCAGAAATGTGAGAATGCTGGGAGCAAAGAGAGGAACTTGCATCCAGTAGAACTGGAAAATAAAACTATGGTCTGGGGAAAAATCCTACTTATCAACAAAAGCATGGAGAATATTCTAGTTTCATTTCTGTTGTGGTAACAGTGATTCTGACAGGAAGCTGCTTCGGGAAGAAAGGCTTACTTCCAGCTTACAGTTCCAGGTTCTAGTCCGTTGTTTTAGGGAAGTCGAGGCAGGAGCTCAAGCAGCTGGTTTCACCACATCTACAGTCAAAGAGCAGAGAAACAGATTCATGCACGCTGCCAGCTGCTTCTAGCTTTCTCCTGTCCCAAGTAAATCAGGATTCCCCCGCCCAGGGGATGAATTGCCCAAAAGGGATTGGGACTTCCTACTTCAATTGAAGATCAAGACAATTCCGCGCAGATAAGCCCACAGGCTGACCTGATCTAGGAAGTCCCCCACCCAGGCTCTCTTCTCAGAGGATTTTAGATTGTGACAAGTTGACACTTAAGATGAACCAGCACCGGGAAATCATTGCTGCTGAACACCTTGTGCCTCTAGATTTGCATGAAGGGATAGAGATGCCAGGATTCATTTGTTACATCGCCTTGGTTCATCTGCCACAGCTTCCTGTTCTTGCTTTGGAGGCGACGGGTACCTCCACAGGCTGGCTCATGCTTTCAACATCTTACATCTCATTTGCAGAGGAGGCCTGCGGCTGGGGTCTGGCTGGCTATCCTATCGTGGTGGCTTCTAGCCCAATAAGGAGTTACGAGAACTCAGCCCTCAGCCAGTGTGTGACACCGAAAGAACGTAGGCCTTTGTGGGTCTATACAAAAGATGCCCTTGCTTTGCAGCTTAGGAAATGTGAAACAAGGAGAATCTCATGCACGGGCATTTAAGCTGGGACTCCTGACGTAAAAGATAAACCCCCAAGGGGGTCAGGAGGTGGCTCAGTGAGTAAAGTGTTTGCCTTAAAAGCATGAATACCTGAACTGGATCCCCAGTATTTGTGTAAGAGAGTTGGGCGTGGTGGCATTCACTTATGAACCCAGCACCAGGAAGGTAGAGACAAAATGATGTCTGGGGATCGCTGACCAGCCAGTCTAGCCTAATTCATGAGCTCCAGGACAATGAGAGACCCTGTCTCAGAGGAGGTGACCGGCATTCCTGATAATGACACCTGGGGATGTTCTCTTGCCTCCATATGCATGTGCAGCTACATACATGTGCACACTCAAGGGTGTGTATACAGACACACATACACACACACTCACATACAAGCAGACTTCTGAGAACAGGAGAGTCATTGGGTCATACCAGCAATAGGGGGCAGATGTTGTTTTGGGGATGCTTGGTTCGAATACAACACCAACATCTAGTTTCTCTCCTGTAATACTGGCCTCATTTTCGGCCCTTTCCCTCATAGCTCCAGCACCTTGTTCCCTCAAGTTCAAACCCAGTTTTCCAGCAGAGCTGAGACAGAGTATTGAGCACCCTAACTGGGTCACATGGCCAGGTGGATGCGACTTCATTGGCTCAAGCCCTAGGCCAACCTATCCATAATGGAAGAACCTTGGTTAGCTTGGGAATGTGCTTAACTGTCGGAGGCTAGAAGAAGCAGAGTGAGGACAGGAGGATTCACCTATCTATCAAGAATGGCAGAGGAGCTGTTCCCAAAGTCATTTAAAGATGGATCCTCGCCTGCTAGAATAACAAGTGTACGCTACACCTGGCGACCTTCCATCCCGTGTTTAGTTCATGTATCACAAGTTCCCTCTCGGCTGTGCAGTCTTGTCTCCTTACCCAACAAGTCCTGAGGGGGCCTGAGGAGCAGCCACCTGAGTGCACAGCCATCCATCTTCCTCCTGTACTTATGCTGCCTGGGGGACCGCATCCCTCATTGGCAACAGGCTGTATCCAGGATTAGTTATCTTTCCATGTATTTGTTCCACAGCAGGATCCTGGAGAGCAGAGGTCATGTCTTATTCATCTTGTGTCCCCCTTAGCACTTCGCCTGGTGTTTGAGGGCATCGCAGGAGAGTCCATAAATCTGCCAACAGATTGAACGACTGATTTATATGCTGCTAGAGCCAGAGGTAGATGGAATCTCGATTTCGACTACAAAACTACAGAGAAAAAGACCTGTGCTCACATCATTTCCAAGAGATTGCAGATCTTCTCAGGACTAAATAATGTTGCCGAGGTCAAGATAAATATCCTCTGTGCACCCCAGCTGCAGCGGCTGGTGTCATTTCTATTTCTAAGGTGTTGAGCGAAGACCCAAGGAATGTTGGTCTCAGCTGCCCCACTCCCTGAGGATATCCTATCTTCTGGCTGGCTCTATAAGGGAGGGACAGGTGCAGAGATGGAGGAAGATGATCACTGGGTGAGGGAGCAGGTGTCATTCTTCAGAGGCTGTGCCCCAGGCAAAGAGCCAGAGCCCCAGGGGAACCTGCCACTGACTCTGTACCATTCTGAGGTTTTAATAGTTCTGCAGCCCTCTGTTTAGTTTTGGGAACCCCTGTGTAATTTCCTCACAACCCAGCACATAGAATAGGGGGGTGGGAGGAGAGGATGAGAGATCAAAGTTAGGTTCATTTGGATGTTCAAACACACCCACGAAGGAAGGCTATCTTGGCTCAGAAGACTCAGTGGCTTAGATTTTGCAAATACCTTGAAAAACATTCCAGACCACGCGATTTGTTCCTTTGTGGCTCATGCCCAGAAACAGCTTTCAAAGGGGAAGATCCAGTGACTCGCCCAAAGTCTCCCAGAGGCTATGAACAGTCACCAAACATCAAATAATAAGGGGGAAGGATGGGAAAGTGTGGTTGGTAATGGAGAGTTAAACGGGACGGTGGTGGTTGGGGCAGATGAGGGAGAACCCAGTCCCAGGGAAAGTAAGGGGACAAAAAGAAACCCCAGGAAAGGGGCGCGGGCAAAAGCCTGTCTGCATCTGCCACCAGTGTCCCGCCCGCCCGCGGGGCCCGTAGCCTCGCCCTTCCTAGAGGCCCCGCCCTCAGATGCCCCGCCCCGCGCGAGGTGCCTCCCGCTCAGGCCCCGCCTCCGAGCCCGGAGACTCCGCCCCGCTCTCTAGTCCCGGAAGCGAAAGCTGCTCCGCCTCTTCCGAGCCAGGTCGCGACCTTGAGACCGGGATCGGGTTGCGTGTCGGGCCTCCGGGGGCCCGAAGCCCCCTCTCTCTTCATGGCTGTGGCACGGAACCTGCGCACCGCGCTCATATTTGGCGGCTTCATCTCCATGGTCGGCGCCGCCTTCTACCCTATCTACTTCCGGCCCCTTATGAGGCTGGAGGAATACCGTGAGTGACCTCTGACCCTGAGCGGTGGCTAGCCCCAGCCTTACGACCCCCCCCCCCCCCCCACCTTAGTCCTACCCTATCTTCCTTTCTGTTCTAGGAGTGCGGAGAAAGGATGTGAGCTTAGTGAGGCCAGCCGGGTTCCAGCTCTCTCTGTGCAGCCCGGTGACCTCGGACAAATGGCCCCATGTCAGACCTTTAATGTTCGGGCTCTAAATACCCATGCACGCGGATCAGTAAACTGTGGAATATCTCTAAGTCACAGAAGTGTTGATGTGTATGAAAGCAGCCTGCACATAGCAGGTCGACACTTAAACACTATTTCACACACAGCATACACACACATATACATATACGTGTATGTGTGTGTATATACATACATATATATATATATGGAATGTTTGATATGTGTCAGATTAGGCATATACTGGATCTTTGAATTTGCATAGCCTTCCCTTGAGGTAGATGCTACCCATTTTACAGATGGAACCACGCAGCCTCTAAGTGGTGAAGGAAATGTACCAGCCCAGGCTTCTGTCTCGAGAACCCCCTGCATCCACGCAGACTTAGATGGTGATGCAGGCAGGAGCCTTGATCATCCTGAGCTGGAAGGTGTTTTTTACCGCGCTTCATTTCCATCCCCTAAGACGCCTTGGAGCGGAAATATTTCAAAGCTAAACTGTTAACCTGGGTTTTTGAGTTTTTCCTCAAATCGTTTTTCAGATTCTGCTGGTTTCCTTCATTTTAAGCTGGTTGCTCACATGACAATGGTGAATGTCCGGGGAGTCATTTTCCTCCTTAATCATTCAGGTCCTATCATTCTAAAAGCCAAACTCTCCTTCCTGGAGACCTATACCTCAGCGCGGATTAGCACTTTGATACATCTGAAACCATCTGTCAGAGAGGAGAGATGAGGCATTAGAGGCTCATTTTGTTCTCCAGGAAACCTGAATCGTCCTGAAGATGGAAGAGGGCCAGCCCAGCCCCCAGGGACTATTAGCTGAGGCTGAAGCTTGGCGATTTGAAGTGCCATGCAAATGCTCTCTCTGCCTGTCTCTGGTGCTATAGCATTTGGTTTCTGGAGGCAGAGCGTTTTAAAGTACGTGCATGCATCCCCTGGCAGCTGCTTTTCATCAGCCCAGACTGAGATGGTCTCTGTGCTTCCGGCCTTCAAGTCCTCCTGCGTGTGCCATGTGTGGTGGGAGCGGAGGCTTGTGTAAAGTCCTGCAGACTGTCTCCATCCCTCTCCCTCACTGGACCCCTGCCCCAGGCTACTTTACTGCAGCTTCTAGAGCTGGACTCGAGACAGAAGGTCTGCTGTGGTCTCCCTTTGGAAAATCCTCTTTCTGAAGACGGGACTGTGGTTCTTAGCTAGTGTGCTTTGTCCTGTGAAGATGGGTTTGCTTGTTACCCCTGAGGGAGAGAGGAGGCGGTGAGTGGGCTGTTAGTACCTAGTGGATAGGATTCAGGATAAATTTTCCACAATGCACAGAAGTCACCCAGGAGGAAGCATCAAAATGCGAGGGCTGGCCTGGTCTCAGTCAGCCAGTGAGGAGGAAGCATGCCCTGTGTTCCTACACGTCTTCTTAGGACTCCTTCTCAGTCTTTGACTGCCTAAGTTGCTGCTGGCAGGCAAGTCAAGCTCTGGGGTGAACTTCTTGCAAGAATAACTATTATAGTGTGTTTTTAGATTTAAGGCTATCCACAGCTCACCTTGTATCTTATTTTGATGAATTTGGCCAACTTTAACTGAAAGTCGTAACTAAATCTTTCAAAAAGTAAGTAATACTGAACAGCCAATTTTTATCGGAAGCTTGTGTTTTTTTTTTTTTTGTTTTGTTTTTTGGGCTCTCTTCCAAGCACTTCAACTGTTAAGCCATTTAGTGCTCATAATAACCCTTGGTGGGAGCTGTTAGTTGAATAACCTGTAGGCAAGGTATTTCCTCACTCTGAATCTTGCTGGCTTCCCCGGTTTTGATGGTGGTGTTTATTGGACTGAATTTACAGGTTTGGGGTGAATTAAGTATTACCTGTGGAAATTTCTAGTACATTCTCATATCAGGAACGGTAGAGAAATCACTTTTGGAAGGAAGACTTAGGCGAGGATTGAGATGGAGGTGACGAGAATGTGATGATGGGCAGGTGTGTGCCTGGGGCTGGCCGGCCCTGGAGTAAGCGTGTCCAGCTGGCTCGCGTGCTTGGGGTCAGAACTGGGAGCCTGCTGTACGGGTGAGCCTCTGTTCACTTCAGTGCGTTCAGGTTTTAGTGTTTAGACCATTTCCTTTCTTATGCTCAAACCCCAGATTTTAGTTGTCACTCATGCGAGGTGAGGTTTAGATATGGGGGCCTGTGTGTGGTGGCCCCAGCACCTCGTTCCCGGCCACTCTTCTCACCCTGTCCTGTCCACGTGTCTCTTGCAAACTGTCTTAGCCCAGTGTGTTCCCTGCTCCTTCACCAGCTCTTCATCTTTCCGTCTGTCCCTCATGTCTTTCTTGTGTGCATATTGTTTTTCTTTTGAAGAGCCTATGAGGAAAATGTACTATTGTGTGTTGTTGAGGGGGTGCGCATACACAGCTTATGTGTGGGTCAAAGGACAGCTTTGTAGAGTCGTTTCTCACCTGCCTTTTCATGGCTTGTGGGATTGAACTGAGGTCACTGGGCTTGCTTGGCAAGTGTTTTGCTGGCTGAGCCATCCTGCTGGCCCCAGTTGAGTTCTTTCTGAACTACACCTGGTACTACTGCTTTGGTGAGAATTTGTCACGGGAAACTATTTTGGTTTGTGAGGCGGTGTGGAGCTCTCCAGGTCTTTGGCACTGGTCCTGCCATTTGTCCTTCAAGTGCAGTCATCTGGCTTATTTAATTAAAACCCCGCGGTTACCCCACCGCTATCTTCAAAGTTCAGCCAGTGGAGGTTATGGAAGTGTTTTAACAAGGTGACCAGATCCACTGTATGCCAGCTTCGGTGCCAGTATAGGGAAGAGAGCCCTGAAGGGTCTAGAGGCAGAAAGATGGGTACTAAAAAGCAGTATCCTTTTGTCCCTCCTTAGGAAGTGGTACCCAGCCTGTACCAGACCACTTCTGGGGCTGAGGGACTAGTGCACAGGGCCTTGTGACTGCCGAGCCCTGCCTTAGTATTCTGTTGCTATGAGGAGACACCATGATCACAGCAACTCTTATAAAAGAAAGTATTTAATGGGGGCTGGCTTACAGTTTAGGAGGTGTACTCATTTTAATCATGGTGGGAGCATGGTGGCACACAGGCAGATGTACTGGAGAAGGAGCTGAGAGAGCTATATCTGGATCCCAGGCAACAGGAAAAGACTGCCCCACTGGGTCCTGCTTGGGCTTTTGAAAACCTCAGAGGCCTCCCCTGATAGCACATTTCTTCCACAAAGGCCACATCCACGAATCCTTTAAATAGTGCCACTCCCTGGTGACCAACTTTTCAGATACACAGGACCAGGGAGGACATTCTTAATCAAACCACAGACCCCAAGGGTGAGGGATAACGGCTCCTATCTCCTTGACTCCAGCAACCAGGAAGGTGGTTGTGGTGATGGTGACAACCAATTGAAGGCATCGGTTTGAGGGCAGAGGTTGAATAGGTGCCATTTTGGACAGTTGAAGTGTTAGGCACCAGCTTCTGGAGCTGCCCAGAGGCAGAACAGTACCCAGTCTGGAGTGGTGTGAGGGACCCGTCAGCGCACTAGGTTGGGGCTCTAGCAAGTGCTCCCAGCTAGAAAATTTAGCGTCCAGAACACCAGCATGCAAATGGCTGAGAAGTGGTCAGCAGAGCAAAGGCCTACAAGGAGCCTCAGGAGGAGCGGGCATAGAGAGGCTTAAAGAGAGCCATAGTGTCAACAAGACAGCTCTCTATGAAAGGGGTGTGACCGCAGGGTCAGGTTGCTTGGAAACAGGGGTGAGTGAAAGTATCCGTTAGACTTACAGTAGGGTGTCAGAAATAAACTGTCGGTTATGCTTTCGGTGGTTTGAAAGTGAGAAGATTGCAGCAGACCCAAGAGTAAGTAAGCAGTCTGTTAAATGGACATTTACACACGTTTGTCTCTTAGTAGGAACATGGCAACCCTTGAAACAAGCGAAGGGAGGAGGGAGAATGAGGTTTGGCTTTCAGTTTGGGCTGGGAGGTATGGGAACACCAGGAGAGTCCTGACAGGCTAAGGTGCTAGAGAAAAGGACAGTCTGTAGAGGAAGGTGACATGGGCTCCTGAGATCAGGTGGCACAACCTTAGGCAGAGTCAAGACACCTCTTCCCACAACTCTAGAGAAAGGGCAGGTGTAGATGCGTGAACAGGTGGCCTTGGAGTGGCGAGTTGTGAGCACTGTAGCTGTCTGACACAGGGCAACAAACCCTCTGGAAGTGAATGGCGTTCTCCAAGTGTTAACTACTGACTGTCTGGGGTACTTTGGCTTTGCCTGCCTCACAGCTGCGTCTGATAGAGGCTGGCTAGATGGTTCATCAACCACTTGCTGCCAAGCCTGAAGAGCTGAGTTTGATCCTGGATGCTATGAGGTAGAAGAAAAGAACCAACTCTACAGTTGGTCTTCACCTCCACCTGTGTGCCAGGGCCCTGTGTGTCTTTATGGAGAAGAGGGAACACAGGAGATGTCTTCCAGCCAGGTCATAAAGTAAGCACCAATCATAGCAGCCTTTACACTGATGGAGTGCTGCTTCCACCAATTGTGCGCGTGTCTTTGTAGCAAGGAGGGAGGCCACTTGGTCATTCCTGGCTGCTTAGTCCGAAATAATCACACAGAAACTGTATTTAGTCTAGCTCTTGGCCTGTCAGATTTCTTTTAGGCCAATCAGGTGCCTTAGGCAGGCAGGTTAAAACAGCAGCACATCTTTGCAGAGTTAAACAAATGTGTCATAAGCAAATGAAACACATCTTTGCCTAGTCAAACAAATGTAACACGCCTTCACATAGTTAAAGTAATATTCCACAACAACTTCGTATTAACAGTGATTTCAGTAGCCCACGGAGAGGGAGAGGTGGTTCTCCTCTGTAGGCAGACAGTCCCTCCTTGAATGCTCTTCCATGAACCTCTGTGAGGGTCCCTCCACCTGAGCACTGGGTTCACTTGCTGCTTTGCTTCTGCCTCTCAGCAGCTGCTAAGTTCCTCCTCACCTCTGACTGCCCTGTGCACATTTATTATTCCGCATGCTTTGCTTGTTCCAAGGAGTGGGCCACAGTTCTTAGACAGGGGCCCAAGCCATGTCAAGTCAAGGTATCAGGTCCCTCAGGACCAGCCTGGATGTGGGGAATATGGGGTTGGGCAGGTTCCATGATTTCTGCTCCAGTAGGATAATAACCCCACAGGCAGCAGGAATGGGATGGAAGGCTGCTTTGTCAAACAGCAAAAGAGAGACCTGTGGTCACCAAGTAGCAAACCCTGTGACTGGGACGTTCAGTGTGATCTGTAGCTCTCTCACTGACTCACCAAGACTCAGGTGTCTGTTCAATGGGCTGAATTCAGAGTCAATCCATAGCTCAAGTCCTGCTTGACTCGGGAGATAGCAGTTAGTCTTGGGGCTCGGTGATCTGAAACCAGAGGTATGGGCACAGCTCTGTTGCACTTCTGGAGGGAGCCCAAGCATTGCTTTTCCCTTTATCCTTTTGCCAGTGGGGATTGTCTGAGGACTTAGGAGACCATAACTTGATCCTGATGTCTTTACATCCTACAACTAGTCCAATTCTGAGTCTGGCCCTTTAAAAACAGCATGTATTTCAGACATTGAAGTCAAATGGTGACATGGGATAAAGTAAGAGCAGTTTTTTTTTATCTTGATCTTTCCCAGTTTTAATTAGATGTGCAGAATACAGACTCACAGGGTTTTACCGAAGGCCCGGAGCTCATTTATTCCTAACATTTGGGTGCGTGGTCCTGTGTCACTCTGTGTGTTAATTGCTGGATGGACACTTGACCCTGACTCTCTGACCTGGCCCATCTGATGCCCTGTCAGGATGTCTACAAAAGAGTGAAGTTGCAGGGCAGGTTACATGGGTGAGCTGGGAGGAGGTGATTCTCCAGCTTCTCACCTGTGTTCTTCCTGCTGTCCTTTGCTGCCCCAGTTGAAGCTGTGCTGTGTATCTGGTAGAACAAGATTACAAGAACTCACATGATGTGCAGAACCCTTCCTTGTGAGGGCTCTTTCCCTATTACACGCCAGGTCTCAGAATATGCCTTTCACCCCATTCACCGTATAACTGAGTCAAATACAGAGACAGGATGAAGTCCTGGTTCCTAACTAGCATTGCAAAGCTGTCTGTATTCAGCCTGGTGTTAACGAGTGTCAGACACGTTGGCAGTGCCAGAGAGCAGTGATTGAAGCGGCCTCTAGTTCCTTCAGCTAGCTGGCTCGGTGAGCTGCAGCTGTGATGGGGCTTCTGCAACACCAACAGTTCCTCTCAGCTGCCCATTCTCAATTGGTATATTTGGTCTCAGCCAGCTGCTTCACACCAGTGTTCTGTCCTCAGCCAGCTGCTTCACCCAGTGTTCTGTCCCCTCATCCAGGTGCTTCACACCAGTGTTTTGTCCCCCCCCCAGCCAGCTGCTTCACACCAGTGTTCTGTCCCCTCAGCCAGCTGCTTTACACCAGTGTTCTGTCCCCTCATCCAGGTGCTTCACACCAGTGTTCTATCCCCCCAGCCAGCTGCTTCACACCAGTGTTCTGTCCTCTCGGCCAGCTGCTTCACACCAGTGTTCTGTCCTCAGCCAGCTGCTTCACACCAGTGTTCTGTCCCCCCCCAGCCAGCTGCTTCACACCAGTGTTCTGTCCTCTCAGCCAGCTGCTTCACACCAGTGTTCTGTCCTCAGCCAGCTGCTTCACACCAGTGTTCTGTCCCCCCAGCCAGCTGCCTTCACACCAGTGTTCTGTCCCCCCTAGCCAGCTGCTTCACACCCGTGTTCTGTCCCTCCAGCCAGGTGCTTCACACCAGTGTTCTGTCCCCTCAGCCAGCTGCTTCACACCAGTGTTCTGTCCCCTCAGCCAGCTGCTTCACACCAGTGTTCTGTCCCCCCCAGCCAGCTGCTTCACACCTGCTGTTACAGCTGTGCGCTCCCCTCAGTCTGAGTTTCAGTCACCATTCTGTACCTGGATCCTCTTGGATTTATGGCCATTTGGTACCCAGGCATTATCACTGCTTCCCACTTGGTGGTTGTGTTCCGTGGCCTCAGGGCCCCAACTGCTCCAGGGCACTTTGGGCTCTATATTCTAGGTGGATGGCAGAACCTAGTCAGCAGCAGCAAATGGAACTGCCAAGGAAGTGCTTAAGTCTGTCCAGCTATTTTTAAACAAGTAGATGCTTGAAACAGACATCCTGGAATGGAAGCGTATTATTGGCCTTTCTTACCTGGCTGTTTTGAATTAAGAAGAAGCTCAGGTGACAGGAAAGATCCCCGGAATAGAGCCATGGATTCCTGTGTCCTTCACCTGGATTTGCTGGTGGTTAACAGTCACCACGTCTGCTTTCCCTCCTTACGAGAACACGCGCACACCTAGATTGCTGTCATTACCGTTATTTTGTTGAGCCATTTGAGAGCAGGTTGAAGACATAATGAGCTTTTATTCCTAAGTACTTGAGCTAGTTTTTGCTAAAAATAAGGACATTCTTTTACCTAATCACAGTATAGTCAAGAATCCAGGAAATTTAATGTGGATACAACACAGCTGTCTAGTACAGAGACTGTATCCAAATGTTGCCATTTGTCCCAATTATTCCAGGTTGTGATCTGCCTTTTCCTCCACTGGAGGCTGTTGGAGGAGATGGGAAGGTAGATGAGGGCCTGTTCCTTTGGCGGCTTTTCTCTGCCCAGTAACCTGCTGCCCCTTTCCCAGAGCACCCTCAGAAAAGCTGCTCTCGGGTGCCCCGCGTTTGTGTGATGGTCATTATTAAATGCAGCACCAGAATAAGCAGACTTACCGCCCACTGCCAACCTTGGCTCATTCTCAGACGTAGTTAGGCAGATTCTTCTACTACCACACAAAGTCAGCCCACCTGCATGTATAAAAGATTTAATAATACACCATCACCCTTTGACTGGAGAACCAGCCTCAATTAAAACTACAAATCAGACCTCAGCCTTAGCTCCAGGGGGCAGAGTTGGCCTTGCTGCGACACTGGAGTGGGGAATTTTCTAACTCCGGGCCCACAGTTGGCTTTTAGGCATTTTACATGGACACTTGCTCATAACTGAGGCCGGTAATTAGCTTATTTGTTCACGCCGCTAAAGCCTCTCTACCTCCGCTGCTTTCCTGAGCTTCACAGACTTGCTATTCCTCCAGTGACAATGAAATAGAAACCTGTCACCTTCATCAAGATGAACGTGCTAAATCCCAAGAGACTGGCTTCTGTTTTTTCCATTAGCAGATTCTACATTCTTAAATAAAGTGTCTTTGAGTGGTCTCCTGAGTTTCCACAAGTCTGCTTTGACCTCAGAGCGCATCTAAAACATGAATGGATCAGAGAAGCAGGCGGATTAGATAGAGGCTAATGCTCAGTTATCACTTTGTAGGAACTGGTTTAGCTTGCTGGTCCAGGCCAAGCTACCAAGGTGGTTGCATCAGGACCCAGATTATGATGAGATTACAGTCTGTTTAAACAAATCTCCAGCCTCCCCAACCTCATTAGTGATTAGCATGATAGCAGCCAGACGGGGATTCCTGCATCACTTGGTTCTCCACTGCATGACAAGAGGTTGGAACACAATTAGGCATTCTGTCCCTGCCACCAACTAGCAGCTTCCTCCCAGTGGTGCCTGGCAGCCTGCCAGAATCTTGGTCCCTGCAGTGGTACCTGCTTCTTAGTGGGTTTGGTAGCTCAGCGTGACTGAGTTTCTTTTGTCTGTGTATCTAAAATGCTCGTGACAATTATTGTACAAACTTTACCTTTTCCTGCTTTCACAATATCAAAGACATCTTGTTCCTGGTGAGACTCATGGTGGTGTGGTGTGGTGTTTTGCTGGCTGGCACTAAGCACATGTTTGAGACCTCCATCTTTGAGACTTCCCTGTTGACATCCTTCTAGGGCTCAGGTCTGCAGAATTAGATGTCTTTCACAATGAGAACACCTTCGTTGTTAGAGGTGCCACTGTTCCCTTGAGTTGGAGAAGGTCTATTGACATCTGCAGGCCCATAGCATCTGTATGCCATTTACCTGCTAGTCTGAGAGAGGCCAATGGGGAGAAGTCGCCAATGTTCCTTGTCTTCTCTCTCATTTTAGAATTAGATACCAAGATTCCCATAGCCCCCACTGCCCTGCGAAGTTAGTATTGAGAAGACTATTAGGTAAATCATTTAGGATTGACTTTCTGTTTGGTGAGTAGCAGTGTTGGCGGAACCCTGTTTCTTGTATCTGCAGAAGGCCTATGAGGGTAGACAGGGTGGACCTAATAGCAAATAAGAGCTGAGTGTGGCTATAAAGGAACAGTGGGTCTATTAAAACAAAGGTCTGATTATAGCGTTTAATCACTGCAGCTTAGGAGTCAACATCCTCTGGCTCCAAGTCTTTCCTCTAGAAAGCTATCATTTGTCAAGATACTTAAAATACTAATCCTTGGTCGTCACAGGCCTCAGGTTTCTTCCAAACCACTTAGGAAGATGTGTCAGGCAACTTGAAGCCCACCCTCGTAAAATGCTCGGTTTCTCTTGGCCTTTGCTTGTTGGATATCTTCAAAGTGCCAGGCTTAGCTGCTGCAGCTACAGCGAGCTTACTAATTGGCACAGCACCTGCAATCAATTAGGGAAGCTTCAATTATCCAAACCAAAGCCACCCACCCAAAGATTAATTTTCTGCTCTATTTCCTATCAAAAACATAGCATATTTAGCTTGGAGTCCAGTCGGTCCTTCAGCGGAGTGTTTTTAGGCACCATTTTCTTGATAACTGTGCCTGTCCCTTCTTCGCAGCCGCCCTCTGCTTGTAATGTCACCCCCACCATCTCCAGAGCAGTTTCTGTTGTGCTGTGTCCCTTCACGATGCTGGGGTCACAGGAAGATGTGGGCTAGGTGGTTTTTGATTGAAGCGTGGCTCTTTTTACATCATAGGACCTAGCTTTCACGACCTAGCATTAAGTAACGGCATTCCTGAATTGAGTCACACTCATAAATATGCTTTGTAATTGGCCCGTGTTAAAAAAAAGCCCACACCTCCTTTCTGAAACGTAATTAATTGTCCTTTTGTGTTTCTCAGAGAAGGAGCAGGCCGTTAATCGAGCCGGTATTGTCCAGGAAGATGTGCAGCCGCCAGGTAAACTTAAAACATTCCCATGGGGGCGCGTGGCATGAGTGCTTGCTTTGTGAGGAGAGGAGGTGGCTTTCCTCGGGGAGCCTAATCTTGCTGCTGATTTTATGATAGTTCTTGTCTTGTCAGAGCTATCCAAGACTTGATGCCAATATTTCAGTGCCTGGCACTTTTCATAAGATTGCTGGGCCCGATTTTGCACTTGGTAAGCGGGCATAAGGTGTAATTCAATATGCAACAGACCACCTGCTTTGCGGCCTCCCCTCTGCAAACAGCACCCTCACGGGGAAGTAGTGTTTACGGGTGAGCTGTGTTCACTGATGTGGGATTCACTTCCTACAGAAGTCCCCAAAGCTCCCTTCAGGGCTGAACGGGATGTTCCTTTAAAATGATCCAAGTTGGCTAAGAACAAGAGGTTTTCTAGCTTTTTAACCCAACTCCTGCAATCCTTGGGTCCTATGCCAAATCCATTTTTCCTAGTAGGGGATAGTTCCTAAGCCATTTCAAAGCTCCTCACAGCTGCTGGCTGCCAGGCTCCTCCTCACAGGTTCCAGTGGCTGCTCTCCCCCATCAGTGTCTCAGCCACGTGGAAGCTGCATGGCTCAATCCCTGCAGCATCTTGTTTCTTTAGGATCAGGGTGTGGGTGTGGGTGTGTGCGCGCGCGCGCGCACCCGGACACTGAACAGTGATTCCTGATGGGGTTTCTGTGTTTCTCTCCCTAGGGTTGAAAGTGTGGTCCGATCCTTTTGGCAGGAAATGAGGCTGTCAGCAATTCTGATGAGGAAGGTGGACATCTTCATCCTGTACACTCTGCCGTGGGGACGATAGATGCTCCCTGTGGCAGCATCGCTGGAGAGAGAACACTGATGCTGCCAGCCAGAGCCCCTGTGATAGAGACTGTGTGCAAAGACAGTGTTTCCCTAAGTCCCTGGAGAACCTGAACAGATGACACCATTAGGAAGCGCCTTGTGGCTCCGTTGACTTCGCAGGAGCAGAGCCAGCCTGCAGGGCTGTTTGTGGACGATCTGCTTCTCATGCAGTCTTTGTCACTTCCCAGCTGTGATGTGAACCCAAGCAACCTGTGGGCTCAAGGGCCATGGCTGCTTTGCCACTTTCTGATTAACTGATTTCAGTGTGAAAGGCCATACCAAGCCACCTCACAGGGCTCTTCGAGAAGGTTCCAGTTGATAAAGCTGTTTAAGATTACTCTGCTCAGATTAACTATCTCATTGAAAGTCTTTGTATTCTGAAGTAAAGAGATGGGAAGCGAGTCACACTGGGTTACCTTAGAATCATAGGTGAGCCTGGCAGCAGCAAGGCTGTGGGTATTAAAATGGTTTCTCTTAGTTTGCTGCTGTGTACTGTTTTTGTACTGTGTTTGTGTGCACAGATGTGTGTGTGTGTTGTGATTGTGTGTGTGTGTGGTTTGTTTGGGGGACAGGTTCATTTGTTTTAGTTTTTCGAGACAGGGTCTGACAGGCAGGCCTTAAACTCCCAGAGATCCACCTGCCATTGCCTGGCAGAATTTTTTTGTAAACTGAATTCTGATATCAAGAAGTAGTACTATTGTCTAGATTCTATTTGCATAGATGTCTTCCGTAGTTAGGGTTTTATGGCGGTGAGGTGACACCATGACCACCACAACTCTTAACGATGAAAACACTTCACTGGGGCTGGCTTTCAGTTTCAGAGGTTTAGTCTGTTGTCGTTGTGTTGAGAAGCGTGGTGGCATGCAGGAAGACATGGTGCTGGAGAAGGACCTGAGAGTTGTATATCTGGATCTCCAGGCTGCAGAGGGAGACTCTGAGCCACACTGGGCATAGTGTGAGCATATAAGACCTCAAAGCCTGTCCCCAAAGTGACACACTTTCTCCAACAAGGCCACACCTCCTAATAGTGCCACTCCCTATGGGCCAAGCATTCAAACACGTGAGTCCATGGAGGCCATTCCTGTTCACACCGCCATTGTCCACGTCGTGTTGTCTCTTTGTATACAAGGTAAACAGCGCACCTCTTGAGACATCCATTGTGTTCATCATCAAGGTTCTCCAGATGATCAGAACTGTTAGAATGAATATACGTATATATCTACAAGGGGGATTTATTAGTGTGGTTTACAGGCTGTGGTCCAACTAACAGAAAGTCCAAGAATCCAGGAGTTCTTCAGTCCACCAGACTGGATGTCTCAGCCGGTCTCCAGAAGCCACCAGAATCTCAAAGAAGTGGGCTCCAATGCCAGAAGGGAATGGACTTGCCCGTGAGAGCAAGAGCAAGCAGGCAAAGAGCAGACTTCCTCTGTGTCCGTTATATAGCTATCACTATATAATGAAGTGTGTGGGCGGCATTAAAGGCGGGTCTTGCATTTCAAATGCCTTCATTAAGAACGACCCCTCACAGGTGAGCTCGGCCTTTTGGGTTTAGTTGAGTCGCATAGCCATTGTAGCTGTTAAAGAAGTGTCAGTTCTCCACCACGTTCATCACCAGGAGCTACAGCAGTAAGAACCAGTTTGCTATTGATTTTTTAAAAAAATTTCTCCATCCCTTGTTTTCACGTCTTTCTTTCCTTCTGTGTCTTTCTTTTTCCTTCCCCTCCCCCTCTTTCTCTGCTTTTGTTTCCATTCCCTTCCATTCCCCATGCTCTGCCTACCTCACCTCCTGGTAGATGCCTTGGTATTGAAAAGCCAGTCTGATTCTTAACAGAAAGCCATGTGTGTTTCTGTAGCCTCTGTCTATATGAGGTGCTTGGTGACATAATTTCGTAATTATGAACATGGCCTTTTCCTAACACACTGGCTCAGAATGTAATGACTGGCAAACAGAAATAAGATGAATAGTTCTAAAATCAGAGTCATCATTTTTGGGAGACATTGCCCAACATCTAATTGACTTGCAGTTAGCAACCCCAGAGAGGAAGCACACTGATTAGGGGTGCATTTGCCTACTGTTTTCCTTGGGTGGGGGAACCAGAAAGTTATGTAATTTAAAGTCAAGTTGTACAGATGCTTAATTGAGCCTTCTTATGACCGAGGCAAGTGCGTGTGTTCGGGAGGACATCCCGGCTAAGGAGCTGAGTTTTGGAAAGGGACCATGGGAGCAGACCCAGTGTGTCTCCTTAATCCGATATTTGTCCTGGGCTTGTGTCTCCTTGCCCTGGGTCTCCATTTGTGTAGTACCAGAGCTTTCTGCCTTCAGTCACCTTGGTGTTTGCAACAGGAGCATTCCGTGAGGCAGACACAGGACTGCAGAGTGCTGCCTACGCCTGCCCAGTGAGTGGTGAGAGGTCCTCAAGGATAATCCAAGGGCCTCACTAGCCAGGAGTCCTCAAGTCACCCCTTCCCCAAGGACAGTGATAGAAGCTCTTTGCTTACGAGAGGCAGCTCAGTCGGGTGCATTAGGAAACAGATATGCTATTGACTAGGTACATTGGATTCTAATTCTGCGGTTTCCTGGGGAGGGTAATCATTTCCCAAGGGCTTTGAACTGTAGCACTTCCTACTGTCATCTTTCTGGGACTGGTGACTTCCCCTTTAGGAGAAAATCAGATAAACCTTTTGATCTCTGAATACCTTGACACTCTTTAAAATGCACGTTTTCAGGGCCAGGGAAAAGAACACTGAACTGCAGTCCCGAGACAGAGTTTGAATTCCCAGCACCCATGGAGGAAGCTGAGCATGGCTGGGCATGCCTCTGTAACCCCAGCATGGGCGTGGGTGGAGACAGGCAGATCCCAAGCACTTGCCAGCCAGCCAGCCTAGCTGAAGTGGTTCGGTGAAAGACTGTCTCAAGGCAGTGAAAGTGGAGGGCAGAGGAGGAGGAGGTACCCAAGATCCTCCTTTGGCCTCTGCATGCACATGTGGGAACAGACAGGCACACACGCTATCATACCACAGTCTCCAAAACGCCTAATAGTGTTCGTGTGAGTTATTACACCCATGGAAACACACTGTATTACTATCTTAAATCAATAATAATAACAATAATTAAGAATTACATTATTTAAAAAGCATCAATTACAGTATCATAGCTGTTAATAGAATGTTGTCTGAAGATTTTTTATTACTTGAGATCAAGTCATTTCTGAGACTGGGGAACAGCTTAGTGGGTAGGGTCACTTGTTACACCAGCAGGAGTCCTAGCACCCGTGTGGTGACTCACACATCTGTAAATCCAGTCCCGGGGATCCGATGCCCTCTTCTGGTCTCCGAGACCACCAGGCACAAATGTGGTAAACATGCACGCAGACAAACCCGTCATTCACATCAACAAAACTGTAAAAGAAGTGGCTGTGACCTTATAGGATGTATTCGGCCACTGTGTTCACTTCACCCTGTTTCCCTCACTCACCTATTTTCTTTCTTGCTTTCTCACTTCAGCTTTCTGTCTCAGACTGCATGCTAGAGCTTTCATTTAAGCCGAGGTGCAGCATACACAAGATGTAGCCGACTGGAAACCTATTTATACTTAATAGAGGACATGAAGTAAAGACATAAAGATTAAAATAATACAGAACACAAAGTCCCTCTCTAAAAGTCTGTACTTTGTTATGGTGATAGAAAGCAGCCTTGGAAGTACTTGCGATTCCAGCGTGTGGCAAAAGACAGCTGTGGTGTGGACAGAGCGCTGCACAGCAAGGGCGGCTGGGGTTGATACTGATGTGTATGGGGATCACTACATTCCAGGCTTCACCTGGCTGATGTACCACTGACTCTGCCCACCTGTTGGCACGGCACACACAGTAGGCGCTCTAGCAATATTGATGGATGGGGTGGTCAGTTTAAAGGTTGAGTGACCAATGGAGGGAGTGACAGTTAAGGACGTGGGGTGCCCACTCTTAAATGGCAGGTAGATTTTTTTTTTTTTTTAAATTTAGGAGGAGGTGTGAAGAAGTTTAAGCAGGTAGTTTTTCCCTGAAGGCTTCAAAACAAAGCCAGGCTGTTCTCTC